AGAGGAAAGGTGATTTAAGTGACTTTGAACGTGACATGGTTGTCTGAGTATTTCAGAAACTGCTGATCTACTGGGATTTTCACACACACACCATGGTCCAAAGAAGAGAACATATCCAGTGAGCTGCAGTTCTCTGGGTGAAAATGCCTTGTTGGTGCCAGAGGTCAGAGGAGAATGGCCAGACTGGTTCAAGATGATAGAAAGGCAACAGTAACTCAAATAACCACTGGTTACAACCAAGGTCTGCAGAAGACCATCTCTGAACCAACAACACGTCCAACCTTGAAGCAGATGGGCTACAGCAGCAGAAGACCACACCAGGTGCCACTCCTGTCAGCTAACAACAGGAAACTGAGGCTACAGTTCACACAGGCTCACCAAAACTGGACAATAGAAGATTGGAAAAACGTTGCCTGGTCTGATGAGTCTGGATTTCTGCTGCCACATTCAGATGGTAGGGTCAGAATTTGGTGTAAACAACATGTAAGCATGGATCCATCCTGCCTTGTATCATTGGTTCAGGCTGTTGTTGGTGGTGTAATGGTGTGGGGGATATTTTCTTGGCACACTTTGGGCCCTTTAGTACCAACTGAGCATGGTTTAAACACCACAGCCTACCTGAGTATTGTTGCTGACCGTGTCCATCCCTTTATGACCACAGTGTACCCATCTTCTGATGGCTACTTCCAGCAGGATAACGCGCCATGTCACAAAGCTCATATCATCTCAAACTGGTTTCTTCTCTGAGGAATGTTTCCAGCACCTTGTTGAATCTATGACACCAAGAATTACGGTAGTTCTGAAGGCAAAAGGGGTCCAACCTGGTACTAGCAAGTCTGTTATAAAGACACTTCCTCCTTTAATATTCCAAAACCCACAGGGCTGTATGTGTTTTAATAGTGTCACTCTGATACAGTATCACACAAATCATCAGTCACACATACTGCTCCCACACTGCGAGGGAAAATTATTCCATTATGCGTATTCATCTACACAGAGCTTGAATTCATTTAGCAGGACTCTGTTGTTGTTTCACCCAAATTACACACAAAACCAAGGAATTCTCTCCCTCATGCAGTAAACAGCCGAGCAACAGGGGCAACTGGTGCAGTCGAGCAATTACACTGAAAACAAACAACTCGATCCAAAATTAGAATGAAGCGGAATTGAAGTGCAGGACGTGTTGAGTGCTGCTGTGCAAAACTAAAAAGCCATAAGCCTGAGTGCTGCTCATGTCATTTCGGCTCCATTGTGCGCCGTTCATTGGATTCCTTATGGCACACTCTCCTGTGTGATTGAAGCTTTGGTTATCTCTCCAACATTCTCTCGTTTCTTTTTAATGCTGCGATAAATCACTCCCAATGTATCTACCACTCTGATCAGTTATAATATTTCCACTCGTATGAATTACTTTGATAGGCCTTTTTTTGGAAAACATAAAACATTATGAGGTATAACGAACTCAAGCTCTAATTCACACATAATTCTACAGACATTAGCAGCTATTCTATCTGGCTGCTGCCTTTACTGACTGCCATTTGATGAAGACGGCCTCTGATTTAACTGCAGAGAATGATATCTCATGGCTAAAGGATGAAGCTGCCTCCATTTTCTTTCTTGTTGTTCCTCAATGTGTTGATTAATGTGTAAAGGTTTGAGTCTGTTGCCTGTTTTCCACAATGAATCAGTTAATCTACAGTGATGGAGCTGTTTTTGACTTGAGCCTGAGAGCTCTGATACAAACTTCCAACAAGTCAGCAACTTAGCAGATTTATGTCCTCTTGTGCTTCCTGCTGGACACACATGCGAATCAAGACTTTGCATTAAATTTGGCTCATGCTACTTTTAAAGACTGCAGAGCGTGGGCTGCATCACTTTGGGATTTCTGCTTAATGTGGGATCCAAGGATGGCGAGCATCTCACAGGACTAAAAAGAGACTGCAAGAGGATTTCTCAGTGGCAAAGAACATAAATCCCCAGCATGGTACAGCCATAAGTATAACAGTGTGTGAGCCAAGAGCTTCTTTTCTGTGAAAATCATTACAATTTATTTGCAGGAATGTAGTTGGAATTAATGGCAAGCGAGCATTTATGTATATGTGGAATTAAAGTTGCACTCTTTGGTTCCTTTCAGCCATTTCAAAGCACCTTTGCAGGATTTTTGTACCAGTGTCATGGTGTATCTTAGCTGGTCTTTGTCATCATGCGTAGTTATCCTTTTTTAACTTCTAGTATATATTAACATACTTTTTGGCTTTTCTTTGTAGTAATCTCATTTTGGGTTTTATATTGCTTGTTTTCGAGCTGTACACTTTCATTCTGTATTTCTGTGGTCTCATGTTGCTGCCTTTTTCTGGTTAAATAAAGGTCAAATAATATAAATGAAAATACAATTAAGCACAAATCACACGCCCAGATTACTTCGTCCTGATTTTGAGTCTCACGCTGAGGCAATATCATGATAAATCTTCATTTGAACAGCTGGTTATTTTGCAATTGATGTGTAACTCTGACTGAAAACCTCAAAACTGTGAGATGACATTTACTCCAGGAAAATCGTTTTATATTATGAGCTCAATAAAGAACTGGAGGGAAGTCCAGTGTGAAGGATTTAGGGGGATGTATTGGGAGAAGTGGAATATTATATAACAATGTTTTCTTTCGTGTATAATCACCTTTGTTACCTTAGAATGAGCTGTTTGTATCTACATCTGGAGCGGGTCCTTGTCTATGGAGTGCACCATGTTACACCACCATGTTTCTACAGTAGCCCAGAAAGGACAAACTAAACACTGGCTCTAGATGGGGCCATTTGAGTTTTTGCGTTGGCCACTTCAGTTAGCAGCTCCCCAGTGACAAAACGCAGATTTTTTTTTTTTTTTTATGTGAAACTGCTTTATTCAGTGTTTTTACCTGTTGGAATCACCAGGTCCATATGTTTCGGAGAGGAGGAGACCTCTGCGGATAATTCAGCTCCCTGTGAAAACCCCCTGAACATCTGGATCTGAAGTTATCAGAGGAAAAATGTAGAGCACACATTAGCAGGTGCTGGGCTAGCAACCTGTCTGCAACACGCTGAATAGCACTGGAGAAACCCTGATTTGTAACATGAAACTACTTTATTCAGTGTTTTTACCAATTTAAATCACCTGGTCTGTTTGTTTTGGAGAGAGAGAGGCCTTTGTGGATAATTCGGCTCCTGTTAAAAACCTCCTGAACGTCTGGATCTGAAGTTGTCAGAGAAATTAGGTGAGCACACGTTAGCGGGCGCTGGGCTAGTGGCTCATCTGTGACACGTTGAGCAGCGTCAGAAAAACACTGTTTTTTTTAATGTGAAACTGCTTTATTTAGTGTTTTCACCGGTTTAAAACCCCAGGTTTATTTGCTTTAGAGAAGAAGAGACCTCTGTGGATAATTTGGCTCCTGGTAAAAACCCCTCAACATCTGGATCATAAAAAAAAGTGAGTAAACATTAGCAGGTGCTGTGCTGGCAGCCCATCTGGGACAAGCCGAACAGCTTTGGAGAAACACTGATTTGCAATATGAAACTGATTTTCAGTGTTTTTCCCAGTTTAAATCACCTGGTCTGTTTGTTCTAAAATGGAAGACAGCTCTGTGGATAATTCAGCTCTTGGTAAAAACCTCCTGAATGTGAATCTTAAGTTATCAGGGAAAAAAGTAGAGCACACATTAGCATGTGCTAAGCTGAACAGCATCGGAGAAACCCTTTTTTGTGACACAAACTGCTTTATTCAGTGTTTTTCCCAGTTTAAATCACCTGGTCTGTTTTTTTCTGGAGAGGAGGAGACCTCTGTGGATAATTCAGCTCCTGTTAAAAACTTCCTCAACAATGAACACTGACAGAAACCTAAGCGGGAGCTCACACTTGGCACATGGGAGAAGTTTCAGCTGGTTGCAATCTGCATCCTCACCACCATATGTCACTAATCCTATGAATGCCACACACTGCTCCTTTAATACACAAGCTGAAAAGACAAATATGTGTCTCATTCTCATAACCCTACATGATAAACTGACTCTACATATAAAACACAGCACAAAGAACACGGTCAACACAGCGAGCGTCTCAGTGTCTCATATTGAGATAAATGCCAAAGAAAAGTCAGCTGTACAAATAGACAGCTGTCATGGTAACTCCAATATCTAATATCTGGCTTTAAACACTTTTTACAAAAGCCTTTGTCTGCTCAGGCTCACAGAGGACTGGTGAGCACATGGAAACCATGGCAACGCCTCAGAGAGGGGGGAAACAATCTTCTCTTGACCACTAAAAGGTTTGGAGTGGTTCATTTAGCAGACAAAGATGTGGGAATAAAGTTTCCAAAGGGGGCAACACACACTTCTGTGTTATGAATTATGCGTCTCCTTTTATTGCAGTTATAAAACCCCATGTGCATGATGTGTGTGTGTGTGTGTGTGTGTGTGTGTGTGTGTGTGTGTGTGTTTTTAAATATACATCCCTCATCCTGTGATTCCTCCTTTAACATTTGATGACTTGTTTCGCTGTGCCATGAATAAAGACTGCAGCAGGCTGCATGTGCTGGCAGGTTCCCCACAGACAAGCAATTTGATGTGGAACGCTGGTCCCATGAGGCAATGCACTCAGCTTATCAACATGATTCATCTCCGTGATAACACGGTGTGTCTTGGGGGGGGGGGGTCTGCGCGGTGTATGATGGGTGAGAGGCACAGGAACCTGCTGCAGGATGTGTATACACAACACAAGGAGCGGGGTGGCTGAATATAGCTACACTTGATGTTTTATACACAAGTTAAGTGAATGAAGTGGGGCAATAGCACTGTCTATCCAATGTTTAATGGTCTTTCCTGCTACCCGTAGACAATATTTGTCTCTCAAATGTCACTGTCATTCACCACAACATGAAAACACACCACTTCACACCTATTCTGGCTCTGCTGATGACATATGAAAGCAGCTGGAGCCACAGTGTGAGTGGCTGCAGCAGCTCAGGTAGGCGTGCAGCCGCTGCGCACACGTGGAGCATTAATCACGCTATGCTGCGCGCGTGCACTTGAGTGCGGGTCTCACAGGGGCCACTTTAGGGGCTGTAGCGGAAAAAAAGCACTGCAGGAATGACCCAACCCCGCGTGCGTGAGTAAACAGCCGTGAACAGTGAGCTGCGGAGCGCGAGGGGCAGTGTGGAAAACTTAAGGCGCTGTCCGTGGTGCTGAATCGCCCCGCGGCGTCCCCTCACGCGAGCCTGTGAGCGTCATCTTTTCTGTCCATACCTGAGCTCTCCTCCTCTTCCTCTATCTCCCTATCGATGCATGATGGAAGTCTACAATTTGAGCCTCCACATTTAACTCGGACACCAACACCATGAAGGACTTGTGGATTTAAAAAAAAAAGCCACCAAATGAAGAATCCGCCTGGGCTCGACAAAATGTTTCTGAAGACATCATTCATCACGTACTTTCACTGGTTATCTATTTACTGACCAGCGCGAGCCCGATTCAGCCACCGACCTCCCCCATTCATTTCATCATGTTGTAGAAATGAACTGCTGTGATTTTGTTGCCCTTCAACAATAGACCTGCGTTTTAAATCTAAAGGGACAGCAACGATACCCGCCGAGACATGGCTCGTCTGCTTGTGTTGGTCAACTCCGTGGTCCTGTTGCTTTTTGGCAGCGACATGTTCTTGGTAGGAGCAAGTAAGTAGCAGAGGAGTCACAGCAATTTTTGTGCACTTTGAAGCCTTGTAAAATGCGCCATTAGGCATGCTGGTAGGGTTATAAAGCAGTGTTTGTTGGAGTCTAATGAAGCTTTTGCTGTGTTTAACCTGCACCTGATTATGCAGTTAATGTCACCATGCATGCATATATCACCTTAAATATGTTTGTTTTCTACTGTAGTTCATCCAGTGACACCTGTTTAACCAGATACAGAAATTACAAGCATGCTTAGGTACATTTTACCTTTCTAAAGACAAGCTTCCTTTACTTTCTTTGCATTATTTCTTAAAAAAACTGCACATTGTCTTTCTTAAAATATCCTTTGTGTTCCACATCTAAATTCCTGACCATATAATAACCTTTAGAATAACCTTGGCAGCATGCCCTACTTATGCATCCAATCAAAATCAATGCAATTATGCAAGAAATCTGCCAGTAATTTCCCCCCAAAAAATTATACAGGTCAGCCACATCCAGCTTCTTCTCGCTGTGTTTGCACACTTGTGAAGCACTTTCTTGTTTGACTAAAAAAAAACCCCATTTAATTCTTAAATTACGGCACTAATTAAAATGTGCAAATGTGTAAAAGCTCCCACAGGAGGCCATACCATACAGTGGCATTCATTTTTGTATAATAGTGTGCCATAGGAACACTAGTTGCAGAGCTGTCTTCAGTGACATCAACCATGATTGTTTAAACTGTTAAACCCTAGGTGGTCTCATTTGCAGCATGTATAAACACCCAGCATTATTATTTTTGCATGCTTTCCATTACAAGCTCAACTTCAAGTTTGCCGTTTATGAATCTCTTCTATTTCCGTGACAGAAATCTTCCCTATCAGCCTCTGCATGCGTGCATCTACAGTATCTCTGCCTCTTTATCTACCTGTCTACCTCTATCACTTCCTCCCTCGCCTCTCGAGGGAGCCGAGTCTTACATGTGATAGCGCCTTGAGAAAATCAGATTGGCACTTCACTGTTTTCTGTGGGTGTGCGCGCGCTGTCTGCCTGATAGATATATTCAGAGCTTTTGTCATGTACCTACGCTGACATGTGAAATGCAGGAGCATCTCTGATCTCGGTGGAGTTGTGCACGGGGGCCGTCGAGAGCAGGAAAAGCCACTATTGAAATAATAAACACTACATTCATAAATATAAATGTGGACGTGGCAATGAGCTTCAAAGAAGAGTGAAAATAAATGTTGAATTTATTACTGCCAGCCCCGTGCCTGCTATGAGACTATGGGATTTACTGTGACATTCAGAGAAAGCTCTAAATTAATTTTAGGCTTCTTTGGTTCATACGAGGTTATCCATAAAAGTTTCAACAAGGCAGGGACAGGGAGTGTTTCAGTGGAGTTTCTCTGAAGTAATGCAATGAATGGAAGTGGCTTGAATATGTTGAAAGTAATAGTAGCATTATGTAATGGTGGATGATTTGTTGCATGCTTTTTAAGATAGCATTTGGTCCAGATGATCATGTTTTCAGGCAGCACTGAGCTCTCAATATCTAAATGTCATTGAGAACATATTTGCATTGTACACTTCTACAGACCACGGATATGTTACATTTGTACATTAACATGTAGCAGATATGTTGAATCTTTATAATTTAACAATGCAGTGGTTTATGTGTGGTTAGGTTTAGGCACAAAACCACTTGGTTATGGTTAGGAAAACATCATGTTTTGGCTTAAAATACCTGGTTTTCTTGGTACTATGCTGGCTGGAAACACAGCGATGTCTCAGTAAAAAACAATTGCTTTTTGTAGTACTTTCCCTGTTGAAAGCCAGTGATAGGTCCCTAAAAATCACAGTCGTTTGGTTTCTAAAAAGCTGCTTGTTAATCAGTGATGGGTTGATAGAAAAGCACCCATGTTTAGTGCCTAAAAAGCCAATGGAAAAACAGTGACAGGTCCGCAAAAAACACCAATGTTTGGTGCCCAAAAGCCGCTAGCAAGACAGTGACAAGTCTCCAAAATACACTCACATTTGGTGGCTAAGAAGTAGCTTGTGAAACAGGGATGGGTCGCTAAAAGACACCCATGTTTGGTGCTTAAGAAGTGGCTGGAAATACAGCGACGGGTCCACAAAAACACCCATGTTTGGTGCCCAAAAAGCAGCCTGTAAAGCAGCTTGTAAACAGTGACAGGTCTCTAAAAAGCACCCATATTTGGTACCTGAAAAGCAGCTCGTAAAAAAAGAGATGGGTCACTAAAAACACCCATGTTTGGTGCTAAAAAAGTGGCTGGAAATACAGTGATGGGTCCACAAAAACACCAGTTTGGTGCCCAAAAGCCACTAGCAAGACAGTGACAGGTCTCCAAAATACACCCACATTTGGTGGCTAAAAAGAAACTTGTGAAACAGGGATGGGTCGCTAACAAACACCCATGTTTAGTGCTTAAAAATTGGCTGGAAATACAGGGACGGGTCCAAAAAAAAACATGTTTGGTGCCCAAAAAGCAGCTTGTAGAGCAGTGACAGATGTCTAAAAAGCACCCCTATTTGGTACCTAAAAAGCAGCTTGTTAAAAAGAGATGGGTCACTAAAAACACCCATGTTTGGTGCTAAAAAAGTGGCTGGAAATACAGTGACTGGTCTACAAAAAACACCAATGTTTGGTGCCTAAATAACCGTTGGAAACACAATGGGTCACTAAAAAACACCCATATTTGGTGACTTAAAAGCAGCTTGTAACGAAAGAGATGGGTCACTAAAAAACACCCATGTTTGGTGCTTAAAAAGCTGCTGGGAACACAGTGATGTGTCCACAAAAACACCCATAATTGATGCTTGAAAAGCCGCTAAAAACATGACAGGTCACTAAAAAGCGCCCACAGTCGGTGCCTTAAAAGCAGCTTGTAATAAAGATATGCTCACAAAAAAACCCATCCATGTTTGCTGCCTAAAAACTGCTGGAAACACTACAGGTCTCTAAAAAACAACCACATTGGTGACCGAAAAGCAGCTTTTAAAACAGTGACAGGTCTCCAAAATACACCCACATTTGGTGCCTACATGCAGCTTGTAATAAAGAGATGGGTCACTAAAAAACACCCATGTTTGGTGCCTAAAGAGCTGCTTGTAAAACAGCGTCTGGTCACTAAAAAACACTCTTGTTTGGTGCTTAAAAAGCTGCTGGAAACCCAGTGATGGGTCCACAAAAAAACCCTTGTTGGGCGCCCAGAAAGCCACTAGAAACAAAATGGGTCACTAAAAAACACCCACATTTGGTGCCTAAAATGCTGCTTGTTAAACAGTGATAGGTCCCTAAAAACAACCCACATTTGTGCCTAAAAAGGCACCATATTTGGTGCCAAAAAACAGCTTGTGAAACAGGGATCAGTCAATAAAAAATACCCATGTTGGTTGTTTGTTGGTCTCGGACATTGGTCTGCAGCTTGGGAAGTGTCACACCTAGTTCTTACGCCATCCACCCCCTTCACCCCCAGATAATAATGTCTTCTTTACTACGTCACATTATAAATGTTGATGTGGTTTGTACGAAACATATTTGTCGTTTGCAGAAACGTAGGCCACAATGCCAACATTTTCTTCTGCCGACTGGGCTGTATGATATAATATTCTTAAGTCAAAACCCACACAAGGTGTTTGTTTTTTCTCGCTCCTACCTGACAAGAGATACTTGAGTGTGGGTAACAACATTTACATTCAGCCCAGTCTGAAAACAAGCATGCTAGAAAATCAATCCCACTAACCACAGCTGTGGGCGTTCAGCAAACGTGAATTAGAATTTATTGGATTTATTTGGATGGCCAGGCTCATATCTTTCTTCATATTGGCAATCTGCTGTTCATAAAACCTGGTGACACATTCTTGACAAATAGACATTCTGAATCTATCAGAGTTAGGGCCAGTGTTTGCTCATGTTGTCATAATTTTATCTGCTGTCACAGTGCAGACATTTAAACATACATGGGGAAAATACAGACTAGGGTGTGTGGAAAAAACAAATTCCACTCAATCCTAAATGCTATATTGTCATACAGTAGCTCACACTTGTTGGTGTCTTGTTTAGACATCTGTCGAGCCAGTAAACAAACAGCTGTAGCCAATAAAATTAATGGCACAAACTGTTAACGACTTGTTCATAAATCTGCTCCCGCATGCCAGCCCTTACAGTTTGGGGATGATGCAGTAATGTTAGCTTGTGGGCTGGAAAGCCTCAGGGTTTGGCCAGTGATTACATTAACCTTAGACTGGCACCTGGTCCCATCTGGTCCCACTGCCGTTTCGCAGCCTCTGAGTCAGTGAGAAAGAAGACAGAGTGTACCTAAAGGGAGGGACAGTAAGTGCCTCTACTGTAGAGAGGCTCTAAAAAAACAGAGAAAAAGCACAGGACTTAGTTACGCCTGGCTGGACAAGTCCTTCCATCTGTATCCATCTACATAGCTGCTACATACTATAGTCGCTGCACTGGGTAGACACTAGTGAAGTAGTGTAAGAGATATAATCAAAGATTGTATAAAGTCACTGCTCCTGTGTGGCATTAACTGTGAAAGAAAGTCAGAATCTCAGAAGGGATTGGAGTTCGGGGATGAAACAAGGCCTTCAAAGGTAATACGTGGGCAGACAGTGCTGCGGCTTTGATAAAACCAGCACGAGGTTGCTTAAGAGCTCCGCTACCAGGCAATTTGCAACACTGAGGCCTGCGAGCAGCTGCGCGACAACCTCCCGCTGTGCGAGGAGAACATTTAGACATCCCACGAGCGGGTTTGAAACACATCCAGATGAAGCCGTTTGAAGATTGACTGGGCAACACATCAACATTCACGGCACCTGTTATGAGTTATTGCCTTTATTTATAAGATGTCAGTGAATATATTATCTCTCAAGGGACTGAGGCATTAGAAGTATTAGGTGAGGATTACATTACGAGCAACCCTTCAAGCTGTCGCTAGCTTAGAGGTAATTGAGACTGAAATATGATCGATAATACAGTCCACAACCTAAGT